GTTTTACAATACTGAAATTTAAATAATCCATACAACTACAATAATAAATTATTTAAAATAAATCAATCCATATTTTAAAATAAATCAATTCATTCTAATAAATTATTTAAAATAGATCAATCCATACAACTACAATAATAAATCAATCCATATTTTAAAATAAATCAATCCATACAAATAAATTATTTAAAATAAATCAATCCATACTAATAATTATTTAAAATAATCAATCCATATTTAAAATAAATCAATCCATACTAAAAATATTTAAAATAAATCAATCCATACAACTACAATAATAAATCAATCCATATTTTAAAATAAATCAATACATACTAATAAATTATTTAAAATAAATCAATCCATATTTTAAAATAAATCAATCCATACAAATAAATTATTTAAAATAAATCAATCCATATTTTAAAATAAATCAATCCATACTAATAAATTATTTAAAATAAATCAATCCATACAACTACAATAATAAATCAATCCATATTTTAAAATAAATCAATACATACTAATAAATTATTTAAAATAAATCAATCCATATTTTAAAATAAATCAATCCATACTAATAAATTATTTAAAATAAATCAATCCATATCTTAAAATAAATCAATCCATACTAATAAATTATTTAAAATAAATTATTTTAAAATAAATCAATCCATATTTTATAATAATTTATTTTAAAATAATTTATTTTATAATAAATTATTTTATAATAAATTATATTAAAATAAATTATTTTATAATAAATTATTTTAAAATAAATTATTTTATAATAAATAATTTTATAATAAATTATTTTAAATAAATAACCTTATTAAATTATTTAAAATTATTTTAATAAATAAATATATTTTATAATTGTTCTTGAAGAGGTTTGAAGACATAAAACTAAGTCTGCACCAAGAAGAGCTCGCCCAGACGTTTGAAGAGCTTTTGTCTTCTAAAAAACAAACAGTCTGCGAAGCCTAATGTCTGCGCGTGGTCTGCGCGACGTAGACATAAGTGGTTTGAAGAGCTTGCACAGTAAAAACAAACACCACCCAACATTTCCGATGGGATAAAGTAACCTGTCAGAAGTTTACTGACGGAAATCCGTCAGTATATTACCGACGGAACATTTAAAATATGTCGGAATGATATATATAAAAAATACAATATTTTATGTTTCTGACGAACATATATTTTTCATCGGGATATTTAAAAATATAGAAAGAAAATCTGAATTATTAATTTATGATAGATTACATGTTTTTTCATCGAAAATTTAAATGTTAAATTTTTTATAAAAAAAGTAGGGTCAATTTTACCGGGATTCTACTTGAAAAAATTTGCATTCCCTCCAAAATATTATGAATCTAATTTTTTATTTAATTAATTAATATGTCAAAAATTAATAATATAATTCAAATAATTACATTAATTTAAAAAATCAGATAATTATAATAATACTAACAAGTTCATATTGTATTTTGGTAATGCCTTAATAAGAAAATAATAATATATGATAAAAAAACTAAATGCACCATATTAACTAAGATTAAATATGGATTTACAACATATATTTCACGATTCAATGTTTCTAATAAATATATATATATATATAGTTGTACGCTATACATAAAAAAAATATTTAATAATAATAAAAAGTGTAAAATAAAAAGTTTGCGTATTAAAGAATTGTTATCATTTAAAATTTTCAAAGCAACCTACAAAATATAATAAAAGATGTTAGTGATTAGTTAAAAATAATATAATAAAAATATATATTTAAAAAATTTCATTGAACAAAAACTAAAAATTTCATCAATATTGATAATAATGATAATAAAAGAGTATGAAATTAAGAGAATGACTTTTGGGGAGGGAAAATGAGTTAATAAGAAGAAATGAAACGATGATTAATAATGTGGCTGTGAAAAACTTCTATTTCTACATTTAGGTGGATTACATGGACACCTAATATTTTCTCGATCTGTAAATCTAAGCTTGCTTAACGTAAATGTGATGAACTCCAACAATGGTCGCTCAAAATCAAGATAAATAATGTGACCATTTATTAGCCTATCAATATTATACATCCAAGATCGATCCATACTGAATACCAAAACATGTTTCTATTGTATTATTAAATTAAGATACTTAAATTAGTAAAATTTTAAATAACAAATTTTTATTTCTATTTTTTAAATTTTCTAAAAAACCAAGAATAAGGACTTATGGTAATATTATTGTAAATTACTTGTAAAAATTTTGGCTTAATATCACAGTTGTCTCTGTAGTAGACGAAATTTATCAATTTCGTCCCTATCATATTTTTTCATTACTTTTTCCCTCGAAGTTGTTTAATTTCATTAATGTCTACTTTTGACCGTCTTGACTAACAGAACCGTTAATTTCTGCGATGTGGACGTCAACTGTTCCATCTAAGATATCTTTGCTGACGTGTCAGCCTGATGACGTGGCAATAAAAAATATATATATCATTATTTTTAAATAAACAAGAAAATATTGGGATTTTCCCCTAATCCCTAATCAAACACAAGCAACAGTTCTTCAACTCTCTTATCCCTTACAATCTGAAAACCAAAGAAACAAAAAAAGAGTGTTTGCTTACCTTCACCATTCGGTCACATCGGTCGCCCTATTGTCATGGAGGTGAAGAGTCGAAGGGTCTTTCTGTTTTAAAGTTAGGAGACTTGGGTCAACACCGTCAGCATTTCGCCGGAGAGTTTCAAGTTCGGTTGGTTGAGTCCTCGGATTTCATTCAGCCGGGAAGAATCGTCGTCATCCGAGTTTTTCACCAAAACACATCCAAAACCTATTCATTTCTCCCAGCCTTTTGTTGCAAAACATTCAAAAGAACATCCAAAATCCATTTCCGTGCATGGCCATACGACCTCACCCGCGACAGATGAATCTCTGAAGTCAAGTTCCACCGTAAAACCCTCCATAAAGGGTCGTAAGAGGCAGAATTGATGCTATGTTGGTTGTTGTTCATGATATTATTAGCTTGTAGAGATTTGGGTCGATCAGAAAACAACGAACCGTTCTGGAGCAAAGCTCTGTGAGCCAAAGAACGATCGAAGATGAAGATAGAAGGGCGTGGACCAAGGTGGAGAATGATGATGGGGCTGAGAGTACAGCGGAGGCGGCGTACGGATCGTTCAATTGGAAAAAGATTTTCGGATCCATAAAAATTTGTCGATGAGAGGGAAAGTGGGAGGGAAGGAGGGAGCTTAGGTTTGGGAAAGGAAAAGAGGTTGAAGAAAGCTTTGAGGAGAAGAGCAATTGAGATTGTGAGCACGATGATGAGCCAAGTCTCCAAGAGATTGTGTTTGATTAAAGATTAGAGGGGAAATCCCAATTTTGTTACTGATTATTTAAAAAATAATAATAATTTTTTTTGTTATTGCCACGTTATCTGACACGTCAGCAAAGATATCTTAGGTGGAAACAGTTGGCATCCACAGCAGCATAAATTAACGGTTCTGTTAGTCAAGACGATCAAAGGTAGACATTGATGAAATTAAACAACTTCGAGGATAAAATTGATGCGAAAATACGATAGAGGCGAAATTAATTAAATTGGTCTACTATAGGGACAATTGTGACCCTTAACTCAAACTTTTTTAATTATTGTTTTTATTTACATGTAAAAAAACATTATTAAACTATGTTACATGTAAAAATATTTTTTTTTACTTTTTGATATATTTTGCACATTTTTAATTAAAATGCTAATACTAATAAATTGGGAGCATTATGTTTTGAAAAATAAATTAAAACTTACCTTAACTCACAAATTCGATAGAAATTTTTTGAGTTTTGCAAAAAAAAAAATGAAATAAAAAATCAAAAAAAAAATTAAAATATTATTTTTCTTATAGATATAAAAAGTAATAACTATGTTATCAATATCAATTTACACCTTAAAAATCCATTCACCATAAAATATAAAAATTCTGCGAAAAAAAGAAAATGTAAGAAAAATATTTTATAGAAATATATAATAGAAATAAAAATATTGAAGAAATACTAACAAATGGTTTTAAAGGGTCTCAAGGGGGGCCACGCATCTTCAACCAAAACTTGTGGTGTGGTCTCGGGGGAGGGTGCCACGGCTCCAAGCAAACTGGAATTTGGGGTGTTGGGGGGTCCCGGGGGAGGGCTCCAACAACTGGAAATTGGGGGGGGGGGGGGATCCTGGTAGATGGAAAAGGGAAAGTAAGAGTAGGGAATAGCAAACGGAAATGGAACTGGAAATGAGATGATTGTAAAAAAAAATGGTAATTGTTTACAGGTGGTGATAATTAATAAGTTTTAATAGATATAATTAATTTTTGTATGTGGGGTTGAAAAGGAAAATGAGCAGTTGTAGAATAAATCTGCTGTAATTAGTTATTTTTTATATATTTTATTATTTCTGATAAAATGATTATTCGATCTCAAATTAAATTGGTATTTTTTATTAAAGTGAACAAAATTTCTGACAGGATTATTGTTCCGTCATAAATTAAATTGATATTTTTTTATTAAAATGAACAAACTTTATGACAGAAAAATAATTCCGCCGAAAATTACAATCAGATCATAACTTTGTGAAGAAATAATTTATTTTCATCAGTAAATTATGATAAATTTTAAATTCTTTTTCCGTCAGTAATTTAAAATTTTGTTTGTAGTGACGTGAAGAAGTTGAAAGCTAGAGGATGACTCACATAGATGTGGAAAGAAGTCAAAGAACGCAAATGAATGAGCATCTTCGAGTCCTGAGATCTCTCATGCCAGGCTCTTAAGTTCAAAGGGTAATCTCTCGATCGAACACGATTATTTCATGAATCGATCTCTTGTTTTCCATTTTCTAATTCGTATCGGGTGATTTTTGCAGGGAGATCAAGCCTCGATTATCGGTGAAGTCATAAAGTCTGTGAGAGAATTAGAGCAACTCCTTCTGTGTATGGAATCAGAAAAAAGAAGATTGTATGGAGAAGCTTTCAAGGCAGATGGTAGATACATCCATGGGGACTGAACAACATCAACAACCACAGCCACCAGTCTCCGTGAAGAAACAGGTGAAAACAAAACCATGCTTGGCCGATGTTGAAGTGGAGGTTTTAGGGTTTGATACAATGGTTAAGATACTGTGTAGGAGACAACCATCCAACTGGCTAAAGCCATAGTTGTTCTCGAAGATTTGCAGCTCAAAATCCATCACACACCACCACTACCATTGAACAAACAGTTTTATATTCCTTCAACGTGGAAGTACACAATTAATATTTTTATTATCTTCCTTAACTTTATCATTACAAATACAAAAAACAAACAACCGCTTTGAGATTCGATTCATGAAAGCATCTGCATAGACATAAGACATGTATCGAGTGAATCTGGGTTCAACGCAGAAGATATTGCGAGCTCAATCCAACAAATTTTCAGTTTCATTCATTCAAACATGCAATGTAGTGAAATAAAATAAAATCAAATTAGGTGACCAAAATGGAACAAAAACTTAAGTTTGATGATGATTTTGAAAAAATAATAATAACATGACCAAAATAAAACTACATGAATAGTTGAGTGACTAAATATAGAAGTTACCCTTATATTTTTTTACGGAATTAAATGTTTGGGACAAATGAGGTAACAATTTAAATTTAGGGAGCAAACCGTCCTGAAAAATACTTTAAGGGCAACTTGATCCAAATGACATATTTCTAGGAGATAATGAGACAATTAAGCCAAATAGAAATAAAAGTTTATATCAATTAAGGAAACAAATTAAAAAGTTTAAATTAGATAAAAATGGAAAATAATTCAAGGAAAGAAACAATTGAATAGAACCAATTTTTTAAAAAAGTTAAAAAGGTAAAAAAAATTATGTATAACACATAGTAAAGAAAAAAAAATTAAGCTAAATAAGATAAAAACAACAAACGGGAGACAATGAAACTAAATTTAAAAAAAAAATAAAGGAAAATGGTTAAAATAAATTAAATGGAAATGGAAATAATGATTTAAAGCGCATGAGATGAAGTGATGAGATGAGGACGATAACGGTTGCATGAGATCTGCCACTAGGGAAAGCACTGATGTTCTTACTTGTAACTTCCGGGGCACTCAGTTTTTCGTCGGTTCAAGGTCTAGACACTCATTTTCCTACATTCTTTTTATATTATATGGTACTATGTTATATTATATAACTTATATTATATATAGTATTATGTTATTAGCATATATATTATAATATTATATTTTATATATTATATATTATGGTATATATTTATATTATATATTACATATTATATATATTATATATATATTACATTATATGTTATATATATTATATTATATATTATAGTATTTAGTTATATATTTATATATTTATATTATATATTTTATATATTTATATTGTAATACCGTTAACATCGGGTCAGTGAATATAGTGAAAGGATTTAAAATTTTGTGGATTAATTTGAATAAATTGAAAAGTACATGAATTGATTTAAGAAATTGTGTTTAAGACTTATTATTAAGAATGGAAGAAAGGAGGGGCATTATGGTCTTTTAGAAGGAAATGAATTTATTATTCATTCTTTTATGGATATTTATTAAGGGATGAATAAGAGAAAAAGGAAAAAACTGAAAACTTTGGTTCTCTACTCTTCTTCTTCTTCTCGTCCCCGTACCTCCATAGCAAAGGTAATATTTCTTCAAGTTGATTTTTCCTTTCTTTTTTAGGCTGGTTTTGAAGCCTTAAGTGAATAGAAGCTTAAGTAAAGTTTAAGAGTGAATAAAACTAATAGATTAGTAGTTTATTAGTGATTTAAATAAAAGGAGTTTTTAAGTGATTTGATGAAATATAGTAAGTTATTGGAGTTTAAAAGCATTTTTGACTTGTCAAAGAAGTAAATAAGAGATTTGGAGCCTTATAAGTGATTGAAAACATGTTTGAAATTTTGGTGTGAATTTTAGTTTTAAGTGTTTGAAGGAATTGGGATGTTATAAGGGGATTTATGGAGGTAGGTTAGCTAGATTGTGTTGATTAAAGATTAGAGGGGAAATCCCAATTTTGTTCCTGATTATTTAAAAAATAATAATAATTTTTTTTGTTATTGCCACGTTATCTGACACGTCAGCAAAGATATCTTAGGTGGAAACAGTTGGCATCCACAGCAGCATAAATTAACGGTTCTGTTAGTCAAGACGATCAAAGGTAGACATGTGTAATCGATATGAGGAAGGTATCGATACCGTAATAAAAAATGGAATTCCAAACTGCTAGAATGGTATCGATACCGAAGTGGGTATCGGTACCATTGAAGAGAAATATCAATACTGTAGGATGAGTACCGATACTATTAAGTCTGAAATTTTAAGTTAGGATGAATTTTATTAGAATTCGAAAAATAATAGTACTTTTGAGTGTTATTATTTTGTATAAATGTTAGAAAGTATACTACATTTATATTGTATGTGTGATTATAGATGTTTGTGTAGATCGTAATAAAACTCCTGAGTCAAGCAAATAGAAAGGCAAGGATAAAGTAGCAGAATAGTAGGACATCATTAAGGCATAATAGTGAGGCAAACCAGGTGAGTGCATTTATTATATACTTATATGTTATGAGGTTGACTTTGGATAAGTCAACCTCGAATGTTTTTATAAAAGCATGTTTTATCGTATTTTGACATATTTTCATAAAGTTTATGAAAATGATTTTACGAATAATTTTAGAGTATGAACTCCTCTAAAATAGATTGATGAAAATTTATATTGTTTAACAGCTATTGATGTTTCAGAATAAATGTTTAATCTGCGATTTTGATCTTAAAAGCCTATTGTATATATAGGTGCATTTTGTTTAATGCATATGTTACATTTTTTTATTAGTACTATCGACACTATGTGTGCAGCCCACAGAATTCATAATGAGTTTGTGAATTATCGTATCGGCACTATGTGTACAACCCACAGAATTCATAATGAGTTTGTGAATTACCGTATCGACACTATGTGTGCAACCCACGAAATTCATAATGAGTTTGTGAATTACTGTATCGACACTACATGTGCAACCCACAAAATTCATAATGAGTTTGTGAATTATCATATTGGCACTATGTGTGCAACCCACAGAATTGATAATGAGTTTGTGAATTACCATATCGACACTATGTTTGCAACCCACAGAATTCATAATGAGTTTGTGAATTACCGTATCGACACTATGTGTGCAGTCATGGAATTCATAATGAGTTTTTGAATTTTCATATCGCCACTTAGGTGCAATTCATGTACCATGCATTATCATTTAACATACATTGGGCAAATAAAAGAATAATTTAGAAAAATATTGATTGCTAAGTATGACGGGCATACTCTATATTGTTTAGCAGGTTATGTGAAAAAACTTGGTCTACCAAACCAGCTTTATGTATTATTAAAATTTATACAATTTAATTCGTATGTTGATAATTTATGATATACTTATGTTTTGATTTCACCTCATTATTATTATACCTCACTAAGTGAATACTTAGCGTGTCTTGGTTTCACGTGTAGGTATTAGTACGAGCGGAGTAAGGAGTTCAGCTGACATCGTCAATCAAAATTATTGACTGTATGAAAACTATGTCTACTTTTGATATGATTAGATGATATGTAATGGACTTATGATAAATGCTCTGGAAAGTATTTGACTTATGATGAATGTAATATTTAATATGTTAGAATTTCAAGACTATTTTACATACTATAAGTTAATGATTGTTTTATTATTACATTAAAATGTTTTATATATACAAATAAAATTTTACTGGTTTTCAAAAGTGGAAATGTTTTAAAAGTCATGTGACATATGTGACTTGTGTACGGAAACGTATACAGGAAATGGGTGTTACATTTTATTGGTATCAAAGCTATAGATTTAGCCGATTCTCGGCCGAAACCGGGTGTATTTTACTTTAAAGAAAGGGTTTACATGCCACTAAGATGTCAACGTTTCTGATATGGTATCGTTAGAATATGATTGATGTCACTCCTTACTAACTTGAGTTGTTATTATTATTTATGTCCTATTTGATGTCGGAATTTGCAAATTCGCAGAGAGCGATTGATCAAGAAGTTAGATAAGGGTTGGGTAGCGAGAGTAATGAAGCTAATAGTGAGCATCCGATCCCATCAGAAAATGCTAGTGCATCAGTACATCAGGGTATGTTAATGCCAGAGTTTTTTTTAGTTTTTATGCAGGCTCTCGATGCAATCTTAAGAGTTTGGGAGCTCCTGAGTTCCGGGGAGAAGAGGATGAAGGTCCTATGGATGCTGATTTATCACTGCTCATATTTTGAAAAGCTGGGCAGAGCTGTATCTTTACTTCGAGGATCAGCTCGAGTGTGGTGGACAAACACTACAATGTATGCACTACCCTGAGCAAGTGGCATGGCAATTCTTTTAGGATGAATTTAAGAACAAGTACATCGGTGAGTAGTTTATGTGGGTGATGCTGCTGAAGTTTCTTAATTTGAAACAATGTGATCGAGCAATATATGAGTACGAGGTTGAGTATCACAAGTTGAGCCATTTTTCTACTGAAGTATTTCCCAATGACAAGGCTCGACGTGATTGGTTTATTGAGACATTGAAGCCTAAGTTGAAAAATATGATGTTAGCATTAAGCTTGCCTAGCCCGCAATAAATCATAAACCAAGCTAAGGCCATCGAAAGAGCTCAAGAGTAGACTTTAGCCGCAGAGTAGGGTATGTAGACGGGAAAAAGAGTTGGAACGTTTTCAACTTCCTATCATACTAAGAGATGCAAAGGTTCGAGTTCTAGATACAATAGTAGAGATGGTTCTGCAGCAGCTTCGCAGAAGAATAATCAATCATAGTCTTTTGCTGCTAGCTCGGGTAGAGCATATAGAGAAAAAAACTACTCCATGTAAGACGTGTGGAAAATTTCACCATGTAGTATATAGATTTCTCCATGGCGCTTGTTTCCATTGTGGTGAAACTGGTCACTATACTCGAAATTGTCCTAAGAGATCCAGGGATAAATCTGTACAGACTGAGAGATTAGTAGCAGCATCTGATAGAGGCAGAGGAAGAGGTA